CGATCTACTCGCTTCTGTTCAAGTGCCAAGAAGAATTCGTATGTTTTATCACTTATGTGCAACAGTCCTCGCTCCCTATATTGTCGTACTTCGATTGCACTGAGCGTTTCTGTGTTGCTTGAGGTGGTTTCAAGGAATTCATGTTGGACAGTAACATGGTTTTCCAATAAGGTGATTTTCTTCATTTCAACATTTATATTCGTGCGAACGGCTGGTGATGTTGAAAACATATTTCCTACGACATAGGATCGGTACTTATCGAGGCATTTCTTTATTGTCCAGCCACCAATATACCTGACTTTCCCTCGACCTTCTGCGCCCATTGCGTGCACGTCGAACTCCGCTGATTCTTCTGCTTCTCGTTCACGAGTTAGCTTGACCAGTTTTCCCACAAATAGCTGGTAAATATGTAGAAGGAGGGATGCAGCCAAACTTCTTTGTCCATCATCGATTTCAATCCACTTTCTGAGACAAAAAGCACTGACAACATCACTTCTAAATTCTTGAGTGAGGAACAATTGGTGAACTTTCCCTGTAGCCCAAGTGAATTCTTTGTTTGTAACGTGCAAATCGTCACAATTTTCGGACAAGTGATCCTCAAACAACGCATATATCCGACACCAAAATATTCCACTTAGTAGGCGAAATAGGTCTATATGAGCAAGAGCGTACGATCTGCCGATCGAAGGATTGACTGAAGGAATCGTGAGATGAATCATTTACGATGTCCTTCAGAAACGATTCTATCTTGAACGTTGTGGGAGGTCGGGACAATTCGTCGCTAGAATTCACCATACATAATAGGACATCTTCCAGATCTACAGAGCTCCCTTCATTTGCCTCAAAAAGCCTTTCTTGCGCAGGCTACGAAGTCCTCGTCCACTGCATCACTAAGCGTATCACCTTGGCAGCCATACAGAATTTCGTCGTCGTTTTTCGTCTGAAAGAAACTGTCATCGAGAACAACATTCTTGCAGCATGTGTGATCAAAGTGCGGAGCTCGGGAGTCTTGGTATCAAGACAGTTTAACTCGCTAGGTGATGGCAATAAGAACCGACGATGAAATCCAATAACTTGAAGGGATGACTCTTTTGTAGCGCGTGACAGTGCGACATATGTCTGACCTGGAACAAACTCTTGGGAACAATGAATCACAACACTTGGCAGCGTCATACCTTGCGCCTTATGAACGGTAATTGCGTAACTCAATGCAATGGGAAATTGGGTTCTGCTGGCTTTTATGTCCCATATCTGTTGTACATGTACCATGTTCGTTTAGAAATGGCGACATTTCCAATTCGCGGGAATTTACGACCAGGCAATCATTTTCTGCTCCAACAAACTTTCCTCGAGAGCCGTTTTAAGTTGTGCGTTTAGGTTATAGGTCAGCATTACATTGCACCCTTTCTTTAAACTGACAAATCTTGCGAACTGTGGTTTCCAGACATTGCGCACTACCCGTGTCGCTGCTCTCAAACATCATTAGGTCTCCTGGTAGTTTTGATAGAACATCTAAATTATGAACGCTGACAGGCAATCTCTTGAAAAGATATGAACAGGAGGCTCGTCTGAGTCGCAATGCGAGATAGGTTCTTCCGATAACCTTGGAGATATTCCTCTGTCGCATCATCGCATTGTCCCATACGTATTTGATCTAATGCGGCTTTCAACTTTAACTCTTCACCCCCTTGACGCCAAATCGTTGTCAGTTTAAATCGATGTTTGAATGCCTTTTCAAACAGCTCCGAAAATATATCACTTTTCCTAAATCGAATGGACCTGGAAATCGGCTTCAACTGCCAGAAATCACCAACTAAAATGATTTGAACACCTCCAAAAGGATGGTTATTTTTTAAGACAGTGTGTTGAAGAAGATTGACTAAACTGAAAATACGTTCACTGGACATTGAAATCTCGTCCCAAATTACTGCGTTAGTAATTTTCTATGTTTTCGAGTATATTCTGCCGTCGAAGGGAACGTTCAATCAAGAGACTATCTGGCAGCTCCGCAGTTTGCAAGCCATAGTGGGCGTGGACAGTTTTAGCCCCACAGTTATAAGCCATGCACGATATCCCACTTGATGATAGAACTTGAACTTTAATTCCATTTGCAGTTAATCTTTTCGTTATTTTTTCGACAACTGTAGTCTTTCCCACGCCAGCCCTTCCAAATATGCAAACATTATGGCCAAGTTCTGCGAGGTCTGCGACGTCTTGTTGCTCTTTGTGTCAACTTGATGGATGATAATCAACCGTTTGATTCATGGATTGATGTAATCTCTGTAATAAGGAAGATGTTTATCTACCGGCCTGTAGTTCGCAAAGGTGGATTCAGATCCTATTGCATTTATTAATCATTTCATATAAACTACAACAACTAAGATGAACTAAGTGAGGGGTGTGAACTATATATTTTGATTTTTCATGCGTGACACCAGTTTATTCCTATAATCAGTATAATGTGTGTATTTTGTTAAATTGGATGCATGCAAACTTAATAAACAGTTATAAGTATTTCAATTATTTCGATAACCTTCCAACAAGGTCGCGTTTGTGTATTATATATATTATAACATTCTAGCTGTATTAACTGTATACTATAACATTCTGGCACGTGACCCTCCCCCAGCACTTGTTACGTCATTTGACTTGAATATAACCGGTCAGACCGGTTTTCGCCATCAAAATTACAGACACGTTTTTGGCAAACAGCAAGTGTTCGACGAGCGAAAAATCGTGCATTTTCATGCATTTTCGTAGTGATCTGGGCTCAAATTATGAAAAAAAAACTACAGGAATGCTGGCAAGGTATGAATGAACAAAAAAATTTAGTTTTCTTCGGCATTACGATCTTTTTATTCATGTTTTTATCGACGATTGATCATGTGGTTTTTCAGCCGTTCTTTTTTCGATTTCCTTATTTATTGCAGATTCATGGATTGCCTGCTTGACGAAATTGCCTACTTGTGTGTCATCTGAAACCTTTAGCAATATTCTATTGGTAGAAAATTGATGGATCAACTCAATGGCGTTTTTCTGGACGAGTACTTTAGCAAAGATTTTTGTTTTCGGTCCCTTTGTGAAAAGCCGCACGTCAACTATTCCTGCATAATATTAAATGTATGGTCGTGAAATCAACATTATACGCATGGACTCTTATAAACATGATGTATGCTGGTAAAGAAAAGACTAAAAAGAGTTTGGTTTGACTGGCGTTTAAAGAAGTCGTAATATGTCTATTGGTGAGTTTTTTTAATACAGTTCAAGTTTAATACACCTATATACAATCATGATTCTACTGTGTATAGCAATAGCATAGATTTACTGCCGTTATGTTATTGGTAAAAGTATAGATTTTAAGCTTTCCCTTTCCCATGAGTGTGGTAATCGTTAAAAAGGAAGACATGCTTTTTTTATATGCGTATAATTCCTGGTGAGAAAGTATTTTAAGCCATATAAGGGACAGTATCTGAGTAATTCAACCCAAATTGTGTTTATTAGACAATTATGCTATAATTTTATTATGTTCTTTATATACGTTAGCCCTGATAGGAAAGTACTTTTTAACCAAACAATTATGGATTGTATTTCTTAAATATCTAACTGCAAATATGTTTGTATAAACATTACATAAAATTACTTACCAAATATAAAATCAGAGTTGAGACAGTATACTTTGTCGTTGGTCTTCTTCCTTCCCCATAATTGTAGCTTTGTAGTTTAAATTGTTGCCTGTTCATCGCGAGATATTTAAAGGTATATAATTTTGTTTTGAAAGCAAGACCATAGGCAACACGACGCAAATTATAAGGTTTTTATAAACTAAATATACTTACTGTATACGTACGTCCGAGATATTTCTTATAACCGAGCTACATTTTTTACGCTTTTTTACAAACGCTGCGTAAATAATCACATATTAAATACACCTCCAGACAATATCCTTCAAAATTACCTTATAATTTAATAAAAAACATTTTTAAAGGGCCGTAATTTCAGACTGGCATAAAAATTAGATTTTTTCCCGCGCTTGCATTTTCTTGCCGACTCCGAGTGCTATCCCCCCCGGTATGCAAATTTGACGGTTTTCAAAGAGCCAATCAGATTACGTATTCGTCATTTTCAACGTTCTCAAAAGTCACAGCGCGGGTCCAGCATCGTCCCATTCAAAAAATGAGTAAAATATTAAAAGCTTTTCGCATTTTTCTCGCTTCCATAATTTGTTTTCAATATTAAAATATAGTCAGTATATAGTAAAATTATCGTAGATTTCATTTCTGCTGTTATTTTAGCTTAGTTTTAGGGATAAATTGAAGTATTTTCTGATTGTTTGCATGTGTCCATGTCGATATTGGGATTGAAGTTGCCTACCTTAGGATATATATATACTATATAATGCCTACATTGCCTGAACACTGTCAGGCACGCGAGTCGCCCGTTGCGTAATACACAGGATGTCAGGATTTTAGTTAGCATGAACAAATTATACATGTTTCAATTGCATCAAAATACGGAAAGCTTTGTTCTAATTTTCAATATTTTAGTGCACTTTTATTTCAAATAAAACCATCGCTATTGGGCTGCCTATGGGAAAACAAAAACAAACTCTTTGCCTCTTTAATTTAGGAATTTTTTCGATTTTATTATATAAAATGATATGTACACGGTATGACGTAATTTGTGTTCAGATAAAAAAATTGACCCCAAACCATGACGTCATGCCATGTATCTACAACTGAACAGATATCTATATTTGTTAAGGCCCGTTTACACTTGCGATTGTTAGTGCGATTTTGTGCGATTTTCTTTTTTTGACAGATATGTACGAGTACTAAGTTAAGAATGTTCTGATGTACAAGAGTTCTTATTTGAACATTCGTAACTAATTCACTCGTTACATCTATCAAGAGAAGAGAATCGCACATAAAATAGCAGCAAAAATTGCAAGTGTGAGCAGCCTTTAAAGAGCTAATTCAGTTTGTATACGATTTTATACTCACTGGGAGATTGGAAAATTTCCTGAGTCTGTTAGTTGATTCAGTTTCTCTTTAACGTTGGGAGGTGCGTCAATGTTGTCTGGCGATTGATCTGGAAAAACGCCCAGTTCAGAACATGCTCATACTCATAAGTTAGTTGCAATTAATTATTTGCTGCTATCTACCAGATCACAAAAGAATAAACGCTTTAGTTGGCAATGTACTTCTTTCCTCTAATTTATTTTACTTTTTTTACTTTCTCTTGCGTACTTGCTTACGCTGATAGAATTAAATCTAGCCGTACCATTCATTAGAGGTGTTTCGGCATGCGACAGAAAACTAGAGACCTGTTGCCCAGGATTCAAGAGTAGTTGATAACAGGCGCTGTATTGATGATGATATGCCAGGGTAAGGGCCACATTCTTATAACTCTTGTTGATGATCGCTTGCTTAAAAAAGTGATGCTTTCCTTCAAAACGCATACACCAGTGCATTCTAAGAGGACCAAATCTATTAGCAAATGAGTTTTAATTATTTGTGGTTGTGGGCAAGTAATTTTTAATGTGATATCACAGTTTGCTAATATGTTACGCTTGATCAAGAAAATAGGTAATTACTGTATCATTTGATCTGGAAGGTGGACCATGTAGTGCCACTTAGGAGTGGTAGCCGCATCACCATAAAGTTTAAGGTATAATGTATGATGCTCCTGTATCAGAGTTGCCAAAATTACAGCATCGCCATCTGTCACTTCAAATGCTAGACTAAAAGACATTTAGAAAAAAAACCGTGTAAGTTGAAATAACCATATCAATAGAAATGCAGTGATAGCCAAACACTAGCAAAACATACGTTGCTGTAGAAAATCTCATGATATGACTTTTTACAACCCTATATCCATTCCTGTAACACAAACTATAGAAAAATGGAAAAAATGCTATTATATTTTAATACCTGAGGTTTGTGATCAAGAACATGAGTCTCATACAGTACCAATGTTCATCATCATCTGGCATAAGTGTTCCGATAACAAAAGGTAGCAGGTTGCATAATGTGATAATTTGTGCTGCTGAAATGGATTAAAAATCAACAATTTTATTTGATGTAAACTTGTATTAACTGGCAGATGTTGGTACATTGCACTTTTGTATATGTACTGTACAGTAGATGCATAATCATCATGAAAATATGCACTACTTACATACAGGTCATATAGCATAGCAATATATTTTTATGGGCAAAAATGGATTGAAATGCCCACATGTTAAACTATTGTGGAGATGTCCACTTTGTACATGCAGCACAATCTAAAACTCTATCAGATGTTTTCTAGCTTACCTGATTGGTTTAACTTGTGGCCACCAGAGTTTAGCATGTTTCGATCAATAGGCGATGGTCTATCTTTTGACTCTGTGCCATGAAGGATCATTTCAGCAATTGTGTTATTTAGCCAGTTAATTGTAAATAAACCCAAGTCATCAATTGCATGCCGCAATAGCAATTTGATCTCCAGTGGAACTACACCCTCCAGTAAGATATGCATTATATCGTGAGGTAAACACTTACAAATATCAAAATATCGTATTTCGTTGAGAATACTTAATCGGTTTATGCCCCAGAATTTTGACCAGTACATGCGATCATCATTTGTAAGGGCATCATCATTTATATCTTCAATATGTTGCAAATGGTCATGAAGTTCTCTGCACTGGCAACTTGAGTGAGTAAGCTAAAAATACACATGTCAAAGAACTGTTATAAATAGCAACTAGTTAGAGTACATTCAACTATCAACAAGTGAGCAATTTATGTGAGCCTCATAAATTACATGGTGTACCTTGCAAGGGATTTCATTTTCTTCTGTGGACTTGAAACAATAACAAGTTCTGCAAATTCTAAATGCTGCTCCCACACCTTCTTTAAATCCACTAACAGAGTTGGCAGCAGGTGTGTCAGCCAGAAACAGTACAAGTGTCCCTCTAAATTTTTGCAAACCTGCAAATGTTTGCAAAACCACACCACCATCCTGAAATTGTAAAAAGAATTAATTGTATACTATTGATTAAGAGATGTGCAATAATTTTTTAATTAATTGCACTCTAGCAGGAATAGCAAACAAAAAAAATATATTCAATATGCTGGCAAAATTTTCTTGTCATGCCTAAATGAGAAAAACATATCTACATTTTAACATCAGGGTGTTTTGAAAGCACATTAATGCAACAAGAGTCTTTTGAAAATGCCTGGTAAAGCTAATTAAGATACCTGTTTTCAGAAAATATCAGAATATGTATGCTATACTTGATGTTGTATGTACTTGTTACATACAACATCACTTGTTTCCTACCCATACTGTGCTGCAATCATCTAAAATTATACTTACACTGGCTAGTTTATTAACATCATCAACAAATGGCCTCAGTATGTTGTCAATACCAAATTCTTTGATATATTTGTACTTGGCAATTGCAAATAGCTGTATTGCTCTCATTGTAGAACGATATTGAGGACTAATATTACCAAGTATCCAGTAAAAGCAACCTGCATATTAAATTATCTAAGGTTAGACTAAGTTACTGTGGCATAAAAAATGTACATACTGTATATATACAAGTTAAAAAAACAGTAACTAGTGTATAGTGTATAGTGTATAGTACATAAACTTACCAAGCTTGTGCTTTGATGTCTTAGATCCAAGAGGATTTACCACTTCAATCTCATCATAATAAGCAATAATTTGAATGCCATTCTTTGTGCTTGAGAAAATTGGATGCCTCTTAACAAGTCGTCCATCACACACATCACCAAGAATTCCATCATTTCTATAATGACCATTTTCTACTTCTCTAAGAACATCTGGATTCTTCAGTAAACTCTACAGAGAAAATCTCTTGAATGAATTGTAAATAAAGCTGCAGGGCTTAGAGCTACTGAATAATCTAAAGGTCCCTTGTTACCTGGGCTTGTAGAGCAGGTCTTGCTCATACTCAGAAATCATAGTTCTTACACAATGATCAAATTCTTTTATTATTTTTTGCTACAATACCAGCCAGGTGTATTCTTCCATTTGACAATATTTATAGCTGTACTAATAATGCTTTGCAAATAACTGGTACTATAATGCATAAATTACCTCCAAGGTTTTGAGGATAGGAACATAATAGAAGTGGATGTCCTTTTCCACCCACTTCAAAACTTTTCCCTTTTTCATTTTTCCTCCTTTCTTCTTTGTTGTCACCTTTTGCCATTTCCACACAGATCCCAATTTTGTGGCTACAGGCTCCTGAAAAGAAACTCTTTTATTCAATGTGTATGTGTGTATTATATATTTATTGATTGATCATCAAATTTCTCCGAGTTAAATTGAATAAAAATCAATTCATGTCATGTCCACCCGGGCATCTTCTTTAATACACTACAGTTATTAAGTTATAAGCACACAAACTGAAACTCCAAAAGAACATATGACAGCCTACCACTAAACCAAAGTGTTCCTTGTAGTAATTTTTCCTTTGGACTGTAGTTGATAAATCAGCGAATAAGTTTCCTTGATCAAAAATTCCCTCATAGTCTATCTCCATGTTGACACCTTCATCCTTCAGTTTTCCGTCCACAGCTTTTTTCACATCAGTCAATATATCCGACACAAAACACTGGGTAGTTTCCATTATATCGTTGACAACCCTTTCACTAACTTTACTGGCTTTTAATGACAATAAATATTTTGCTGAATGACATTGTTTATAATTTTTATCAACAAGACCTACGGGAGTGTCTGGTACTTGCTCGTTCACTTGCATAAAATCGTTGATTTCGTTAGCTTCATTAGCGTGCTTTCGTCTGATATGTTTCCGAAATGAATCCATCTTGGAATATGATCGGTTACAAAACCCACAAACTGCTTTAAAATTGGCATCGTGATGATGAAACTTGAACATGTGCTTTTTGTAATCATTGCCTATATTTGTCTCATACCGGCATATATTACAAATAAAAACCATGTTGTTATTTTCATCTGACGTGCATGTGTTTGATTCCCACGCTAGTGCCACTGCTTGGGCTTTCTAAATTCTAATTTAGCCTCGAAGATCATGTATTTGTGTTGTGGAAACTTTGTTCCAAAAAGAATATGATTTTTCTGCGATTTTATTGGAAATGCTGCGGTTTAAGTGGATGCACCTACCCACCAGGCCTCTTCCTAACTAGCTGCTCCGCTCGGTTCCCGCCAAAACATTCTCTTATTCGGCAAAGTTGTATAAAGAAAAGTTGATTTGCGTTCAAAAATAAATAAAATGTCGAAATTTGATGAGGTTTTAAGGCTGCTGGAAAGTGAAAACATGGGTGAAGTTGCAGATGCTCTAATTGGTAGGTGTTATTTGTATTTTTATACTATATAAAACCATATACAGGATATTTTATGTATGTCTTTCGGACGTTGGCCATAAATTCCATTGGAAAAAGTAATTTTCCCCTGAGTCTGGCCTTCGGTTTCAGTCCATTCCTTCAATCGTTGTGTTTCCTTTTCTAGCTATGAAAGTTGTTTTGGTTATAGACATACTTTCGTTGTAGTTTTTAACACTTTTATAGTTTTAATTCTAATGAAAAGATGAGAAATAAGTATAACCAACACGACCAAGTACAATGTAGTTTTTTTAACTTATGAAGTTCATAAAATACACCACAATAGTAACTCCGAATAAAGTAAGCTACTTTATTCAGAGTTACTATTGTTGTGTATTTTATGAAAATACTCAGTGGTTTCAGCAATTAATGAAGTTCGTGTTGTAGTGGTTTCAAGAACAGTTTATTTCTCTTAGAATTACATTAATACAGTAGCGATGGCTGTAAAGTCTTCTTTAGAAATTTATAGTTTCGCAGTATGCAAGCCCTAAAATATTAGCATTTCCATGACCAAATATTGGACTAGCTTTGCCACTAAATAAATAAGATTCACTGTGGTAAAGCTTAAAGCTACATAATATTTAGTAACACCTAGCTATTGCCAGCAAAATATCATCAGCAAAAGTCTGAAAAGTTGGGATCACTATCTATGAGTAATCTTTTACTAAACTTCCCTTAACAATTTAGGTATTTTTAATTAAAGAAATATCTCTTTTATTTTAGTTGAGGAAATAGACAATGAAACATTGCCATTTATTACTGAAGAGATGCTTGAAAAATTGGGAATAAGGTAGTCCAGTTGTACATTGTAAAGATAACAATGAATGAAAGTTTCTGGGATTTTCTTAACGTTACGCACAAGAATTATTATGAGATTTTCGCCTATTCTTATGCAGAATGTACCACAGAGTACAGTATGTTTTTTACCAGTGAATGTTTCATCTGTCCTTAATTCAGATGAATGCATTTATTGCCAATGTTGTAATAGTCTTGGACTGTGTTAAACATGAGGAGGGCAAATCAGAAAGATGAATACAAAAACTTAAAAATAGAAATGATGTTAGTTAAATGTGTTGAACAAAAAGTTGGAAACATTTTGTGTCTTGTGAGTCAGGTTTGTATTCAATTAATTATGAAAATCTGCGAGACCAAGGGCTACTCCTGCAAAGAACTCCTGAAAATGGAAAGAAAGTAGAAGGAAAACCAGTGGACCACCCTTAATCAATGGTGGAATAGAGTTGAACCGGTGGGACATAACACAAATTGAAAATGTTCTAATATTTTGTATGACCTCTTTTTACATTTCAAAAAAGTTTTCACTTTTGTTGGGTAGAGTGTAGCAGTTTTGTCAGCATTTGTGCCTTACTGGTTCAACTCTAACTATTCCATCATTGATTAAGGATGGCCCACCGGCTTCCTTCTGTTTTCTTTCCATTTTCCTTTGCATGAGTAGCGCTTGGTCTCGCCACAGTTATTAGAATAAACATGGTTTGGAGACTAGATGGAAGTACGATACAACTCATTATCTATGTTATTGTCCAGATTTATGCAAAAAATGGTTCCTTATCCGTCACATTTCTATTGTATTTTTGCCCAACTAACTAATAGCAATGGCTTGGCTTAGCTCCTCAATCATGACTTGAACAACATGTTATATATATATATGAAATTTCTACTTATATATAGGCCACTTGGTAGACGTCTCAACGCATTGAAACTCATCAAAAATGCTAGTGTAATTCAACCAGAGTTACCAGTAAGTGATGCAAATGAGGAACACAAATGAAATGTATTTTAAGGCATTTCATCTGAATGACTGTTATTAATTAATGCTGTTATTAACCTACATACATTTTGGTATGCTTAATTCACTAGAAAAATGTAAGTGGGCAGAATGAATCTACAACCAGTCAGCATGCTGTTAATGCTAAAGATGTGCAAAATATTGTAGAAAGCTCATATGATGGAAAGAAAGCATCTGATACTGCTGCAAAGTTACCATGCCCCCTACCATATCCACCATTTTCCCCACGAATATGTGATGCAGAACGTAATAACAACATCCTTTTAGTAAGAGCTCAATTGATTCGTGAGACTGCAAGATTTTTCCTAAGCTTAAAATATGATTTGGTAAAACATTATGATGAGATTTGCCAACATCTCTTAAAAAGATTCCCTGACCTGCAAGATGCTATTATTTTGCCTGGAGCTACATGCACTTACGTAAGTTTTGTCTTTATAATGATCTTTTACTGCATAATTAACTTATGAGAAATGGATGCATGCACACATGTACTTTCATTGGAGTTATGACTAAATATGCTGGTTCTCATGCTTTTTTAAATCATAGAATTCACCTTTCAATTATGTAATTAAGTGAAAGTCCTCAACTATAAAATTCATATATCTTCTATTTCTTTTTATATATATATATCTTCAAGAAAAATAATTGTTTAACCGTAAAATTTATTTGTACAATATTCGATCTAGCTCGACCGGTTGTCAAAATTCTGTAAACAGTCAAACTACATGTTATTGATGTTATTTAAATTGCATTTCCCCCAATTTCACTTTCTAATTGTGCATGAACACCCTGTGTATTTACATAATATGCTACATATATTTGCATTTACATACTGTGTATACTCTATTGCAGATAAAACTGAAGCATGATTTGGCCCAAAGCGTTCGTAATCATAAAAGAACCAGTACAAGCACCAGTGTTTTAAAAAAAACTGGTGAGGCACTGATTACGGAACAGGGTCCACCCATGTCGTCTGCAGAAAATGCGCTGGTTACAAAAATGCTGGAAGAGCTTCATAGAGCAGCAAACAAATCAAAACCATCACAGGTGCAGTTACACATTGTATATCTATATATTTGACGTGCAGCATTTTAAATAGATTGCTTAGTTATTAGGAAATATACGTTTTTATCCGGTCAGGAGGTGCAGCCTAGGTATTAAGAGTATAAAGTACCTAGAGTATGACAAATGCATAATATATTATTTTTTACCAGGACCACATCAAGAAATTGCTGCTGGGGCTGAAGAGTAATTATAGTGAATGGATCAACTCAGAAGTCAGAAGTTTGAAAGACGTGATAGAAAAATATCCTGTATTGCAATATGCCAAATGGGTCAGTATTCAAGATGGTTTTTCTAAAGTGTGTTTCCTTCCAAAAGTTGTTATAAACTTAAGATAAAAACCTACTTACCACTAAAGCTATTAATTGATTTAAAGGTTGTTAACCCGGACCTTCGGTCAGGTTGTTCGGTCCGTTAACCCCGACCTTCATCAGTGCAATTATTGCAGTTAACGGACCGAAAACTTTGCAGTATTTAATAATTAGGTGGTTTTCCTATCAGTTCATTAAATTATTAAAGTCGCCATGCAAACGTACAAGAAAATCATTATATATTTTTTGTAGATAATTTACCAAGCGTGCCTTTTGATAGGCACGACTGAGGAAGAAATTGATGAACGAATGTCGTCGTTATTTGAAAGGTACTTTACCTGCATGTGTGCTGCTTTTCTGAAAGATGATATTTGCAGTTAAGGAAAATCTTACAGCTAGTTAGAGAATGGCCGTCAATCAGCCTCGAGGATGTCATTGCTCTGTACCATAGTGTAGATTAATTGTAAAATCTTTGAAGTGAAGAGGAAATCCGTGGTTTAAATAGGTGGCTACATGATTATTAATGCCACTTTTCCTCAGAGTGGATCGAGTATAACCACAATGGATTTAACATAAAACTATTTCTGCTATAGCATTAGAAAGATAATGGGGTCAAAAGAAGAAAGCGATCTGAAATTGGTAATTTTCGTAGAACAGGCAATCAACGCAAAAAAAAACGAAAGCGTCTTTCGGATAAACATGGTTAGTGCAATGATTTTTCCTAAATCAAAGTTTTCTTGTTTTGTTACGTGTGCAATAGATAATTTATTTACCATTTAGCTGCCTTTTTAATTAGGAGAAAATTATCATTTTTTTTTCAATTTAGCCTGGAGCAAAACAATTTCAACCAACCGCAGCGACGCCCACATTAATGGTTACAATTTCAGAAGATGGCGAAGAAATTAATCAAGGCTTTTTGTTTGTGGATAAAGTTCTAATGTGTGAGTTGGAGTATCCTAATGTCATCGTTCTTTTAAAGCTGTGGATTTCGGCACACTACGTTTTTAATATCGAATATGGCAAGGATACCGTAAATTTTGCCTATCTCTTGGAAGACTGCGTTCTAATGGAGCATGGCCTCAATAGTATACAACACTACCGTAATGCCAGTCAAGCCAAACGCCGATCCATCTCCCGTTCCAACAAACTGGAAATTTTTTATGGTCGCCTGAAGGCTGCTGGGTTGGAAATATAACACTTACAGCATGTGTTTTTGAAAAGATTTTGGCCCTGTTTTTTAGTGTTTGGATGTTTTGTTAATATATAGTATTTATTTATCTATCTATTTTTAACTGTCAATAGTTCTATTTATTTATTTAATTTAAAAAGTTGATGAATTTGAGATATTTTTTATTTGATAGTATTGAGCTAATAAATGTGGCTACGTGTTAAAATTCTGCATGCAAAGTTGAAGAACGAGCTGATACCAAAAGAGAAGCTTAAAATTCCTGGCGAAGCAAAAGTTCATTATGTGATGCGCAAACACACCTTTTGTGTTCTCAAAACACGCTTTTTGCATGTTATGGTTTGTCCCGTATATCTACACGTCAAATGGCGTGTTTTCAACGAAGCGTGTTCTCGAAGCACGCAGTGTGTTATTAAAACACACGTGTCCGTGCTCTTACAACACACGAGCTTATAACACGCTTATGGTAACAACACAGCAAAATTGTGTTGTTTGTGTGCTTTGACAGCACGTCTAAGCGTGTTTCAAAAACACACCGAATTTACAACACTCTAATCGTGGCAACACGCAACACACTTGTAGCATGTCGATGAGCGGGACAAAATAGTGTGTTCTAAGAACACACCGGGTTTTCTAGTGTGAATACGACTAGGCGGCTGCAAGTCAAGAAAAACACAAAATCAACAAGACATTTCATCTTATAAGTATAAACTAAAAGTTCCATTCATTGCTGTGTTCTTTCAGTTAAAGAAAATTGTCATTTCCGTCGACTAAAGTGTAAATGTGATGCCATTTTAAAAGATATTGACAATCACCATTATGATGGCAATGTTTGACCATGACCTTTGACTTTATGTATCAAAAAACGTAAATGTTTACAGCGGAAATTAGTTCATTATTGCATTAAAAATTCAAATTAGTTATGTATTGTGCATACGCTGGTGAAAAAGATGCGTAAAAATTAATTTTGTTAAAAAAATATTAACTTACCTGACTTTGCGTGGATATTCTCCAAAACAATTGCCGATCCCACACAAAAACGTATAAATTAAAAACAAAACTAACCTGCTATAATAACTTAGATACAAAGAAAACTGCTAAAAACTCAGCGAAACGTTGCGATCCTTTGAGACAAAGCGAACAATAGATTTATTGTGTTTTACACAACAAGCCTCGTTTTCATGTTGCGCGAAGGTGCGGTTACTAAGTTTCGCAATGGGTCTATTATGAAAAAGAAATAGTTCTAATTAATGCGCGTGTCCTAGACAAGTATTTAGCTATTTTGAATTGCTTGTGCCTGGTTTTTAACCCTCATTTCAGAAAAAGGTTTGGTTTCAAGTTTAGCTTTATGTTTTCTTTTGGTGGTACTAATCGAACTACTGTTTGTGCTGGCTTCTAGGACATCATCATTGTTGTATTATTGTTTAATATGTTAATTTATGCATAGATTTAGCTATATAAAAGTGCTGTACTCATGTTAGTATGTTATATTATAATAAATGTTACACGTACAAATGGACAAACATAACATGGTGTCAGGTGTGGGATCTTCAACTTGAATAGAAATCGTAGAGTTTGGAGAAGTTTATTTCGAAAAATGGATAAATTAAGACAACCTCCTGAGTTGCAATTCGTTTCGAGCGATGGTGATTTGTCTGAGCGGTGGAAAAGATGGATACAAACAGTCAATTTATACATGGATGTCTGCATGAAAGAAGCCTCTGAGAAAGAGAAATGCAGTGCTTTCCTATATATTATTGGTCAAGATGGGAGAGATATCCACAACACATTTGATTTTGAGACGAGCGAAGTCGACAAGATAAAACCGTTAATACAAAAGTTTGAAGATTATTGCATACCAAAGCAGAATACGACAATGCAGCGATACAAGTTTAATAAACGCGTGCAAAGTGAAACCGAATCAGTTGACCAATATGTTACTGAACTACGGCTTTTGGCGAAGAACTGTCGTTTTGGAGAACTACAAGAAGAGTTAATTCGGGATAGAATCATTTGTGGCATGAAATCGGACAGACTTCAAGCTCGATTGCTTCGAGAAGACGACTTAACTCTAGACAAAGCCATTAGCATATGCAAAGCAGACGAAGAATCGCGTAAACAACTTAAAGACCTGACGAAAAACGATAGTTTTAAAGTAAATTCAGTAAAGAATAGTTCTGATCAAGAAAAGTGAATAATGAAGGTAGACCAGCGAAGTTTAAGCGAGAAAAACAGAAAATACCATCGGGCGGCTCGGGTGAAGTAATAAAATGTGGCAAATGCGGGCAAGACCATCCGAGCAAGAAAGACAAGTTACACTGGTGATAAACTTAATGTTGTTGGCAAATGCATGTTGAAATGTATGAACAAACAGCTGAACTTTTTCGTGAGCGAAACAGATCAGTATCCTATACATGGTTTTCAAGCGTCACAAGAACTCGACATAATCAAGGTAGTGATGGGTACTAATAAAGAGGGAGATTTTGAGGAGAAATATTCAGAGGTATTCAAAGGCTTGGGGTGCCTGAGGGAGCCATATCACATTGAATTGGATCTGGAGGTGTCATCTGTAGTAAATCCAGCGAGAAAAGTTCCTGTAGCAATAAAAGGTCGTTTGAAGCTTGAGTTAGAAGAAATGGAGAAGCAAGGAGTTATTCGTAAAGTGGACAGACCGACTGACTGGGTCAATTCAATAGCAATAGTGGAGAAACCAGGAACGGGGAGATTACGAATATGCCTGGACCCGAAGCATCTAAATGAATCGATCAGACGGGAACATTTCCAATTACCAACGGTAGAAGAAATAGCGTCTCGGGTATCTGGTGCAAAAGTGTTCTCCAAATTAGATGCAAGACATGGGTATTGGCAGATACCATTGGATGAGCCAAGCCAACTCCTAACGACGTTCAGTACACCGTTTGGCAGATATTGCTTCATGAGAATGCCTTTTGGCATTAAATCCGCACAAGAGGTTTTCCAGAAGAGAATTTTGCAACATTTTGATGATTTCGAAGGCGTAGCCACTGATATTGATGATATACTCATTTGGGGATCGGATGAACAGGAGCATGACGCACGATTAGAAGCTCCCTACAACGTTGTGAAGAAATAAATCTTACTTTAAATGTACACAAGTGCAAGTTCAAGATGAACGAAGTATCGTATTGTGGTCACATCTTCACGAAAGACGGAGTGAAACCTGACGAATCGAAGATTAAAGCTATTCAAGAGATGCCGACACCTTCGTCGAAGAAGGAGATTGAAAGATTACTTGGAACTGTTAATTATTTAGCAAAATTTGTACCTAACCTCGCAACGATCACAGCTCCAATCAGAGAACTGCTAAAGAAAGATATCGAGTTCTGTTGGTCCCACGAGCAGACGAAAGCTTTTGATGAGATTAAAGAAATTCTTACTCGGAAACCAGTTCTCAAGTTTTTTGATCCAACTAAACCGGTTATAGTGCGTTGTGATGCCTCGCGGAATGGACTTGGTGCAGTTCTGATCCAGGAACTTTTCTCTGTTCTATTTGCTTTTGAAAGATTCAATGCGTACACCTATGGCGTGAAAGTTCTTGTTGAAAATGACCATAAACCACTTGAGATCATTTTAAAGAAATCCTTACATGATGCGCCTCTGAGATTGCAAAGGATGTTGTTAAGATTACAGAAACATAACTTCACCTACCAGCATAGACCGGGCAAGGATCTGGTGGTAGCGGACACTCTATCACGGGCACCACTTCCCACTACAGATTCAGAGTTAGAGAAAGAAATATCGTGCTATGTTCACAAGGTGATGTCAAATCTTCCGGCAACAGATGACATGATGGCGAGACTCAGGATTGCCACAGAAGAAGATGAATCGTTACAGCAGTTGAAGAAGACTGTTTTGAACGGATGGCCAGATTCGAAACGAGAAACACCAGTCAAAATTAGGGAGTATTGGCATTTTATAGAGGAGATCTCAGAGATTGATGGGATTCTTTTGAAGAATGAAAAGATCATCATCCCAAATTCCCTCCGACCAGAAATGTTGGAAAAGATTCATGCTGGAAACATGGGCACCGAAAAATGCAAGAAGCGGGCACGGGATGTTCTGTATTGGCCAGGGATGAATTCGCAGATAGAAGAAATGGTTTTGAAATGTTCGACCTGTCTCGAATATCGACCATCAAACCAGAAAGAGCCCATGATTGTTCCACCAACTCTCACGATTCCATGGGATACTGTCGCCACTGATTTGTTTTACTGGAACAATTCTAACTATCTATTAGTCGTGGACTACTTCTCACGTTATTTTGAGATTGCGAAGTTACCAGATATTAAGAGCAGCACAATAGTTACTTACATGAAATCTATATTCGCTAGACACGGGATTCCAAGAGAAGTAAAGAGTGATAATGGTCCGCAGTACATATCACAAGAATTTGGAAAGTTTTCGAAAGAGTGGAATTTTCAACATACGACAACCAGTCCATACCATCCACAAGCTAATGGTCTGGCTGAAAGATCGGTGCAGACTGTCAAAAACTTATTAAACAAAGCAAACAGAGATGGAAAAGATCCTTACGTTAGTATTTTAGAATATCGAAATACACCCATTGATCAGATTGGTTCACCAGCGCAATTACTGATGAGCAGAAGATTAAGATCTGTCGTCCCCACAACGAAGTCTTTGCTACAACCCAAGGTCATTGAAGAAGATCTAGCGAGTTCGAATTTGATAACTAAGAAAACCCTTCAGAAACTGTATCACGACCAAGGCTCTAAAGAACTTCCTACAATATCACAAGGCGAGCAAGTGCGCATGAGACAAGGAAAAGTATGGAATCCAGCTGTGGTAATTAGTAAAGCACATACACCAAGGTCATACATCGTGCAAAGTCCAGATGGAAGCACTTATAGGAGAAATAGGAGACACATTCTCAAGACGAAAGAAGGAAACTCGCAGTCATTTGGAATCGAAGATTGTGATGACACTAGTCAAAGCAATGATCACACTAGTCAAAGCAATGAAAAGGATGCAGTTGGTACAGAACCAGCAAGTGATGGTGATAATGCAGTATCTCTAGAAGAAACACCAGAGGAACAATTACCGGTAACACTTGATAAACAACTTAGTCCATCTCCACTAAAGACTAGAAGTGGAAGAATAATTAGGAAACCGAATAGGTTTAAGGACTATGAGTTATGAACAAATAGGTTTAAGGACTATTGGTTATGAACATTGGATAATAGTTAATTGACAATTAATTAAACTTTAAATCAATTAAATTACTTTAGAACAATAGAAAAAAAACTTATACGTTTATAGTTTAGTATAGTATACTTTTATTCATTTAAGAAGAGGGATGTTGTATTATTGTTTAATATGTTAATTTATGCATAGATTTAGCTATATAAAAGTGCTGTACTCATGTTGGTATGTTATATTATAATAAATGTTACACGTACAAATGGACAAACATAACAATCATCACTACCATTATCAGTCATTCCAAGGCTAAGGCTGCTGGTGTTACTTAAAGGTGTATTTGGTCTATCAACTGTATCACTTTCCTTGTCTGTATCTGACAATGAACTCTCTGATTCGCGAGATACAAGTACATCACCACAAACTACATGAAGCAACATCCATAGCTTCCATGGTATCAGAAAATATAGGGTTAATGATGATTAATCACTCTCGTTTGTCAATCGGTGCCTTTCCACTTCCTTTTTTCACACGATCTGTAAATTTTCGCCACTGATTTGAGGTAATCCATCAAAACCTCTTTTAGTTAGAGCTTCCATGAGTTTCGTACTATACAATGTTGTCGTTTTGAGAAAACGTACGTTAAAGATGAACAAGCAATTTTAAACTAATTTACAGCTTAGGAAAAGCACAGAATTGCACTAATTATATTTATTTGGGTTCCAAAGTGTTCAGAGAAATAAATCTGTACTATATAACATTATATACTATATTTGTTTAGATATTATATATATATATATATGTACATACCAACAACAGTCAGTAGCATCAAGTGATTCAAGTCCGCTTTTTCTTACTAGCGACATCTGTTGTTGGCACAGCAATTTCCATGCTAGACAGTGTCAAAGTGAAGAGCACTGTCAAGGATTCTTTTTCTTTTTCTTCTCTTGAAGGTCAGGCTGGGAGCTCAAACTGAAGCCTCCTGGTTGGTATGACTCCTTATCACCCTTAGATTTCCGCATAGCACGAAGTTTCCTTCTCTGGTTCTTGTATTTCTCGGTGACCTTCTTGGCAGCTGTTTGAAGTCGAACTCTGTCCTGAAGTCTAAGAGCTCTCATTGAATTCTCTCCAGGAGTAACTCCACATAAAACCATAAACATTGCCTTGCTAGCAGCACCAGTGTTGAAAACTGCCACTGTTTCACAAGCAGCAATACGAACTCGCCGTGCTCCACAAAACTTGGTTTTTGGACATTTTGACCATAGCATTCCATTGGCAGATTCATTTTGATTTTGAGTCATGCCCTTCAAACATCTAAGCAAGAGATCATGGTTGGATAATCTTGTAAAGGTGGGCTCCAACTCTTCCATAAAAACTGGAGGTAGCCGATTATCCTCACTATACGTAGATGTTCCCTCATTTATGTCTTTCCAGTATTTACACCATGTATCACCAGATCTTGGACAGTAATGATGTTGCTCTTGTAGGGGTTTGGAGTCATCCCTAATGATATGGTGTTGAATCGCCTTTATGCTCCTCTTCATTCCTTGTAAATTACCTTTGTTCTCCCTAATAGCTTTCCCGTAATAATTTTGCATCTTGTCAATTGTCTTGTCCGTTAGCCGTCCCTTTCCTCCAACACTCTTGCCATCTGTTAATTTCTTTCCTTTGTGATCATTCTTGTACTTCCTCAATGCTGTTCCTAGTCTCTTCTGCACATGTCCCACACACTCCTCCTTCCTTACTTCATAATTCGTCGCCAACGCTTCCTTTACCCGCCCGAAGCTGCTGCTGTCGCCATCACCGACAAAGGTTGTATACCTTAGTCGCCTTGTTTCAACGCTTCTGCCGAAGATCTCCACAGCTGCAACAGCCTCCGTTTCTTCTGAAGAGCCCTGATGGTTGATTTGACACTTTTGTTTATGTCCCTCTTTCCACTGTTTATATTTCTCACTTTCCTTATCCTCTGCGCTATGTGCCTTGCACTCATGATAGAAAAGAGACTTCACTTCATAATCTAGTATTTCCCCAGTGTCCACTGAGATGACAAAAAATACACCAATTTTAGAAGAATGTCCTCTTTTTTGCCAAGTACCATCGACAGTTACAGCAACATGGGCAATGTCTGTCTCACCATCACCATTCTCGATATTGTCTGGTTGTTCGAACAAAATCTTTTCTCGCAACCTTTGTGCCGCATCTTGCATCACTTGTTCAGCATGGCTTCCAGCAGTCTGTTCAATTTGAATCAAGTGTTCATTGTATGCTTTTTTAGTAACTGGAGGGGGCAAATTCATTCCACCACAAAACTGTGCAAGTCCCGCATGACCAATGTGGTGAGCCGCTAGCACCGATCTGCGATTTACTTCTTGGGACCCACCACCTTTCCCACCTAAACGCTTGCTCGTTGCCAATGGAGTTTCCACCTTGCAGATGGAGCATTTTAGGAACAAAGACTCCCCTAATCCTTCTCTTTCTCGATTTTTTTGAAACAGCTGAAGCTTTGACTTCGCTTGACGGCAGGAACTACATACAGCGGCTGACGATATGCACTCACTCAAGAGCGATGCATCCTGCAACTTAAATCCGGTAGCCATTTCAACATCACACTTCGACATCCCGACTTCTTTCGCTTTTCGGCGGGTCAAGATACCTTTTTCGCTTTCCAATTTTGTGAAAGAAGTGTTCAGTAGTTTCTTGGCCGAAATACTCTCACATTCTTTTCCAGAGCTAGCGACAAGATTATCCGTAACGGCAGCAAAACCACCGCTAGACGAAGCGCCATTGCCCGAAGTATCAGCCATCTTTCTCGGCAAATCTTGTGGCCTTTTACCGAAAAAGCCACGTCTTTTCCTTCTCTTAGTTGTTCTAAACTTTCTTCCATCCTTCTTCTCCATTTCTAATACAAAAAATAAC